GGAGATTCTCCTTGCCTCTCTTTTTGTCATTCTTTTTATCAGAATGTAATCAGATTCTTTTTATCAGAATGTAAAACACAATGTGCAGGGTAAGGAAAACTTCAGGTTTTTGTGCTGACTCCTTTCCCCCTTTCAGGCACCTCTGACAAGTCCTCTTGAAACCTCTGAAACATCAGGAGTAAACTGATTTCTACTTTTTATCATCAACATTGGAAGCACTTCCCTACAGGGGTGGAGTGAGGTGTTTAAAAAGGCTTACAGAGATAATCTTTAATGAGGCTGCATCATTAATTAGGCAACTTGTCCAAGGCCAGTAATTACAACCGTGCTAAATTGCACTGAATTTCTGTAGCATTGACATTTCACAGGAAGCAAGGTGCAAAGTTGAAGGAATAAAAGCCAACACAGTGACTGTTCTTACCTAATGATTTCTAGTATGTCTGCTGGGAAAAATGCTTGACACAGACCTGGCCGATGCAGATGGCCAGCATGGGACAGACAGAAGAGCAGCACATGAGCTCTTACCAAGAGCCTCCAATGGAAAAGCTGGACAGGAACACCTTCACCTCCCATTTCAGCAAAATGTGCAGACAAACTGCCTTTATCCTACGTGATCCTCCATTCCTAACTCAAATTGGCACAAAGGCTTCATTCAACTCACACAGAACCCAGTCCAAATCCCAGCAAAATCAACACAAGTGTCCCGGTGCACTTCCACAACCTCTGAAGAAGCCCAGAGGGTTGCAGATTTCATCCCAAAAGGACGTTCCCACTCCAGACCTTCAAGCACACTAAGGTGATGTGTGCTTGGGTGATACGATTGGCACTACTGTGTCTTTTATACATTTTCCTCCTAGGTCCTTTATCAGGACTGTTAGCAAAATCCCTTATCATTATTGAGTCTGATCTAAGTAGTAAACTAAGAAAATGAAATTAATGTCATTCTCAGTAACATTTAGAAATTGCAAGCTAAGCAGCTGCCACTTACTCCTAGTAACTCGAAGTCTATTATATTGAAATAAGTCTTACAATAACATATATTGATTTTATCAGGTTTGGGCTTCTTTTTTTCCCAAGCAACATATGTTGCGTGTTCTATATTTGTGGGGTTGCACAGACACAGGTTTCATTGCTGTTGCTCTGACTCTTGCCAAACAGATGTTGAGGGAAAGCAACTTAAAACAATGTGGGATAAAAGCTGTCTCAGATGAAAACACTGGGTTAAGAAAAATCTTGTGGGTAATGCAGTATACTAAAAGCATTGATTTTATATATTTATTTACAGAATAGATAGGTAGTTGAATTCATGCTTAACCACATTTGTTGAAATCATGCTATTATGTAGAAAAAAAACCCTAAATGCTAAGAATTATGTTAATTATAAGGATGGCAACTATGTGAGTTTTTCATTTCCAAAGTTGGTTTTTTTTTTTACCTAAAATCCCGATTCTCACTAATATCCTAGTAGCTAGCTGAAAGTTTGAAAAATGCTGAAGAGTTTGAAAAGGGATGCTTTTAAACCACCCTTTGAAATAACAAAATGGCAAGCAATTCTGAACCCCAAACACAAAGAACTGACGTATTATCCTGAGACTGATAGAGTTCTCTGTAATTTGCTGTAATTTGTGTAATACCCAATCAGCAGGGCTTAGCTTATTCCAATACTTTGTTCATGACTAAGCCTAGTGACAGAATTCAGTTCAATTTACTCTGAGAAGACAAAGAGGTTAATTTTTTACCATTCAGAATCAACATTTTTCATCACCTATACCCTTTCCCATTATGAAAATAATTAGACTTGTATAAAGTAGAGTTCAGTTCAGCACATGAAAACTGACACGAAATCCTTCATACCTACTTTTTCCCTTGAATTTAGTAACAGCGTTGGCTCAAAAGACAGTACTAACTGCTTCAGGATTTTAGGTTTGGTTTAGCAAATAAAAAAAAGGCCAATTATGTTAGAAGACTTCTGTGGTTACTTTCAATGTATTACTGATTTACTAAACTACAACTCATTGGATGTCCATGACAACAATCCTTTCTAACCTCAGATGTGTAAGTTCTGTTGCTTCTGAACTTGTACTGATCAAAAAAATCTGCAATGCGTTTCCTTTACCATGAAAAAGGAACTTGCAGATCCAGAAGCCAGAAATAAGCTCATCTCCCCCCTTATACAGAAATAACTTACAGAAATTGGCAGGAAAACCTAGTTCCTTCCACATTCACTGCTACAGAAAAGTGATTATACTCTGATACGAACGTGTTATATAAACTTTCAAAGCGGTGAAAAGATTCCACATGGAAACAAAAAATTTAAATCAAACCCAGTCAGTATAAATTTTACAATATGTTATATTCATAAAACAGGTACCAAAGGGAAAAAAAAAAATCAGTGTCTTTGCATTCAATTTTTCTCTCCTAAACCCATGCAGACTAAAGGTTTACTTCAGTCTATAGATTGAAAAACAAAAGCCAGAATTCACTTATTTGCTAGAGATTAGATGGCTATTTCTTAAAGGACCAATATTACAAAACACCATCTAGTCTTGCTTTTCAACAATGTTATTTGACAATCGACTGGATCTTGGACAGCTGGTCTATCATCGATATTTCTATTCCCTTTGAATTATCTGTTTTTGAAAACAGATTTTCATGTACACTAAAGTTACTATTAATATATTTAGCAATAGAATGTTATTAAAGCAAAAACTATGACCAACACAAATCCATATTGCTAAAAATTACTTGAGTTTCATACATGTTTATGAAAGCTTCCTGAGCATCATGAGAAAACTGAACATGAAGGAAAAGTCAAGGTTTGTAAATAAGATTCCACATAAAACAAATTACAAGAAGTCTTAGCATGGGCACTTGATTACATTTAGTCAAAAAACAGGTCAAGGTACATACCTGTAAATCTGTTGAATATTTTCAGCTTTGATTTCTTTGAGAATTTCATGGTAGATATGAAGGTTATTTGGTTCTTGAGACGCTGGGGGAGAAGGGCATTTGTTGTGTGTGTAATACCCTATCACAATTCCAAAAATAAATAAAATCAAAGCAGTGCAAAATACTTTCAGTATCTGAAAACAATTGCAGCGGTTGCTTTTTGGTGCCTGTCTCGTATAGTGTGAAATGTAGTCGGGGTCTTCCTGAAGCCGCTGGAATCTTCCCTTTGGAGAAGATGATGGCTGGATGGGCTCGAGATCAAGGTCAGGGCTCTGCGAGTTTCCCAGGTGATGCTGGACTGCACCACCCAGTCGGAAATGGTCAAACCCAGGCTCCTCCAGCTCTTTTTCCATGTCCCATTCCAGTTCCAGTGCTGTGGCTTGGAGCTCATCATTGTCAAGGTACGGAGCGTGCCCCTGTGCTCTCTGGTCTGCATTCACTTTGTGATAGGCCATCTTTTTATCTATTAAAACAAAATTTAAAAAAACAGCCTAAATGTTTGTTTCCTTATGTATACACAAACAATTTATTTATTCTTTGTAAACGTGGAAGAGCTAAACATATATAATAAAAAGCAAAAACCAGGTTCACAGTATTTCACTTTCCCCATTTCCACCATCCCCTCTTCTTTTGTATGATCAGCAGTCCCATGAACACTGCCATAGAAGAAATAAGATATTTAAAGGAATACAATATATTGTAACAATATGAATAAAGGGGATTTACAAGTGCCAATGGCACTATTATTTTGTCAGTCCCCAAGATAATATTAAAAAAATTGAGTGAAGGCACAGAGTTTCCAAAACAATTATTTATTACCTGAAAGTAATTTTAAAGCTTAACAACTATGTGTTATCAATTTCATTTCACACACCATACAAAATAATGCTGTTAAAATAAAGTTGAAAAAGTACAAATAGTATAACTTCTTTGATCGGATGCTAAACACAAGGAAATGATAAGTTAAAGAAGAAATTTCAGGGTGACACTGTACTTACACATCAATAAAAGACTTCCATTTAGATGGAGCATTCTATTATTTATAAGTATTTTAAATGCATAGTTCCCAAGTGACTGATGAATTTACTTAGAAATTGTCCCAGCTGTTTTGCTCCACTTATTTTTCCCATTTTAATGAATCAAAAGCACTGCCAGGTAAGTATTTATATCAAAATCATTCCTTTAATAGCAAGGTATATCCGTGACAATTCTAGATATTTCTATGGAAGTACGAGGTCTCTAAAGGGAACTCTGACCTCTAGTACAAACATTCAAAGTCAGTTTTCAACAAATCATTTTTAACAGACTGCAACAATAGGGTGCCATTTCGTCCGTACTTTGACAATAGCTATTCCATCACATAAGCATCTGTAATTTAGGGCTTTTCAAACATCAGACTCACTCATCAATTAGAATAAAATGAAGATAAAGATATTAAACCTCTCATAGTGATGGATATCGGACTGACACCTACAACACTACATTATCCCTGCATTACATTTTAAGGCATTTTCTTTCTCTAAAACTCACCTCCAGATAACATTAATGAGGCCACATCATAGATGAACCTACTCTCATGGCAAAGTAGAATTTAGCTCTTTGAAGCTCTCTGAAGAGAGCAAACTGTTAGAAAGCACTGATATACTGAAACAGCCTATTGTCCACTGAAAGACTAGCTTGCTCTGTACAATACCAATTTACAGATCCTATTTCCTTGTACAGCCATATAAATACCCCTCGCCTATAACTGTCAAGCAGTCTAGGAACAGTCAAGGGAGCCCATAGTTGAGGTACGCGTTACAAGTGCAGCTACCGTATACACTTTGCAGATCAATGCTCTACCTGCAGTCCAAATTTTTCTATATGCACTGGAAGCAACAGAGTTTAGAGTGAGCTCAACTAAAGCATTTTATATTTGTGTGAAAAGCTACATTATTTATTTAAATAATGACAACAACTGTTAGTCTCTAAATTCCAGTCGAGTCAACAAATGGCTTACACCTGCAAAGCCATTCTGGCTGAACTTTACAGACTTTCTGTTAGCCCAGCCCTCAGGTTTGTGAAGGTCCTTCTGAACTGTAGCTCTACAATCCAGCAGGTCAACCTCTTTCCCCACAGTTGTGCACTACAGAGATTTCTCAAGGGAGCATGCTGTCTCCTTATCCAAGTTGTTAAGGAAGATATTTAATAGTATCAGCCCCAGAACTGCTCCCTCGTGCTCTAAGTGTCTTACCGAGCAACAACTGGATATCAAGTGATTTATTCATATTCTTTGGAAAACTGAGATAACCAATTTTCAAGCTATTTATCTTCCCTTTCAATCTGTCTCCTCCTGTTTTGCTGGTGAAGGGATTAATTTGCAAACCATCAATGACAAGAGATCACTACTAGATAATAACAACTGCCCAACAACCTCATTTTTCCAACTCCATACTGCTTTTCATTAGAAATTAAAGGCAAATGTTTTGTCCTTTAAAAGCAAAACAAATCATTACTGTATTCCATAAAAACATAATTGTGAGTCTAGAATTACTAGTCATTTAACAAACTGCTTTATCCAGATAAACAAACCCTTAACAGATTACCACAATATTACCCATAGAATAGAATTAAGGCAGTTTTTCAGATGCAGTTGTATAGTAAATGTTAATCTTGCTGTGCTTATAAATGGTGACCATTGCATATCTGTGGTAGTTAAGTTTTTTCTGCATTTATAACATTTTTAAAATTATGTTATTGTTCAATGGAGTGTATTAATAAAGGTTATTTAAATCTACACGCAAGTACATAATAAAAATTTCTATGATATTTCTTTAAATGGTTGTTAATGCAGATGAGTAGTAACCACATTCCGCAGCTTAGCATCTCAGCAATCCAGTTTTCATACAAAGCACCAAAACCAGTTACCTCACTCCAGGGGAAAAAAAAAAAACACCCCCCCCCCCCCAAAAAAAAAAAAACAACATACAAAAAAACCACACACAAACAAAAAACAACAAACAACTAAATGAACTAAAATAAAGATCAATATTCAATTCTGTTTCATATTTGAGAATAATGTTTGGCATATGGTATCTTCCCAGCAACATATATACTTTAGGTAAATAATGCAAAAAAATGCAAGAGTAACCCCAGTCAGCATCTTCGCTTTTTCTACTAATATTGCTAAATTCATTATTTGGGTATAAGGACACAGAATAACTTACCACAAGGTACCTGAGATTAGGGCTCCACAGTGTATTTAACTATGGCAACAGTGACTTTAGAAAGGAGTCTCTTGATTCTCAAGGCAGAAGTTGTTCGTGCCATGTAACCTGTGTTACCAGTTCTATTTAGTATTTGGTTGGTTAAGGAAGTAGGCCTGACAAAGATTAGGTATTAAATATAATTTTAGGTAGAAATTAGAAGGATAAAGAAAACTACATAGAGAATAACAAAAAAATAGACAATAGAAACATGCATGAAATATGGGTAAACTATGAAGTCAAGAAAAACCACCACAATACTCTAGTTCAGTCTTCTCTAACACAGACCATAAAACGAACATACTATTGAAAGACACTTTTGAAAACTTCAGGAGATAGAATACCCACCCCATCTGCCAGCAAGCTGTTTGAACATTTAATTGTTGTTAAATACATGTTTTATTATAAAGGTAAAAGAGCAACTGCAAAATACCAGAAGTCTGAATGTGCACCAAGTGAGCTTTAAAGCCATTCTACAGGGACAGCAAAGGGGATCGTAAACTCTGGAATACTGGACAGAGCTGAGCTGATGACCAATAAAGTTGATGTGCATTTCTATATCTCCACTTATTTGTGGGAAGAACGTTTATAGAGAGGTATCAAATCAATGCTAAATATCCTTTCAATTAACTGTACACCAGCATTCAGGAGAGTCAGCTTTATCAGATCGTTATTGCCTTAACAAGCCCATTTCAAAACTAATTGTTTTTTGATCTTAAAAATCTACCATCTACCTGTTCTTTGATCTTAAAAATAGCACATTTACATTCTGTCTGATAGGTGCATCTTGTTGTGAAACAACCAGAAACTTTTTTTGTGATAGCTTCCCTGCTTGAATCCCTTATCAACGAAGCCTTTGAAAACTATATAATAAGGGGTACATGAAAGGTGTTGCATCTGTATCACCGCCGCTCTTCAGTATCTCCAAAACACGAAGGTCGGCTTATATGAACATTTTATGAAAACAAGGAAAGACCAATATGTATATATTATATTATATTATATATGTAGTATATAGTAAACTCTATGAGTAATAGATAGTAAACTCTTTCTAACTGGTGCTGATATTGTTAAATCCAGTTCTTAAATAGCTGAGATGATTAACAGGATCATTCACAGCAGGCAGAGTGGCAAGTGTTAACATGCTGCCCATAGCGAATGCCTTCTTGGGTCATTTAGTGTTCCTTACTGAAAAGGCAAGCTTTACTTGTACTGATTGTACTGAAGGCGTTGCGGCTTCTTTGGATAGTCACAAAACCAGAAAACCAGGGTTGCTGGTTAATCTCATTTTAAAGGTTCTTTCACTTTTATTTTCTTCTTGGTATCATCTATGCCAAGTGTTTTTGCTTTAAGTCCTTGTAAATCTCTCTGTGTCTAGGTAAACCCCCAAAACAGATACAATGTCACCTGTTTGAAGGGCAAATAGCTGTACTTATCGCAGAAGTCAACACCCATCGCACACACAAGCCTTTGACGTATATATGACAACAATTTAGTACTTTGTTAAATGATATGATGCCAAGTTTCAGGTCTAGACAAATTTCTTCAGTTATAAATCCCTGACAAAAGTTGTTTGCAGAAGAGATTATGATGTCCTTGTCAACAGCACCATTACACTACACTTAATTCAAAAAATAACGTGATATTTCCATCATCACTTCCTTAATTTTCTGCAGTAATGATTTCTCCCTGCCCTCACGTTTGAGATACGGGCTTGGCAACCAGTTCAGTTACAGTAGGACAAATCAGTTCCTTGTCACTCTGCACAACCACCACATAAAACCAAACGACAACTTACCAGTTGTTCAACGTTTCACTAGCTGACTTAAGACAAACGTAACCTAAAAAAACGTGCAATGCTGTAGCCGAAGACTACAGCATCAGACTTGAGAAAGGAGGTGTGTAAAACACAGCTAATTGTTGAGTCCAAGTTGTCTCTTCATATATGCATTATACACTAATAAGTACTTTTTGGCACACAAGAGGGATGTAGAATACCATTATACACTAATAAGTACTTTTTGGCACACGAGGGATGTAGAATATTTAACTTCTTCAAAATCTCTCACCAATTTTATTACAACATGAACAGCCCTGTGGACCAGGATACTTGTTAATATTAACACAAGCGATGACTACGTGACAAGAACAGGGTCTATAATGCACCTTGACGGATAAGACCTGCACACAATGATGTCCAGTTGGAAGCA